CCCCAAAACCCCAAAACCCCAAAACCCCAAAACCCCTCAATTAAAGAAATTTATTGAAATTTTGAATAAAAATGAAAAATCATCCAACTTCAAGACTCTTGCTAGAAGAATTTGATAGTTTTGACTCGTGAAAGAACAACAAAGTCGGGCTGATTAATCTAAATATCTTAAACAATGCAAGAAGTCCTACTGTAGTTACTCAAAAATAGTAAGTCTCGTCCAAAATTTCCTAAATATTTAATTTTCCCAAACAAGTAGCTCATTGGAGTGTATTATAGATGAACAGAAGTTAAGTCTGAAGGCTAATTTATCAAATTTTTCAAATATAAATCTCAAAAGCACATTAATATCTCGCTATACGCCTAAAACAAGCTTGAACAGGGAATCTAAAGTACCCATATTTTCCAAAACAAATATAAGTTTCTACAACAGAATAATAGGGAGTGACAAGAAACTGCAGTTGTCCAATGGCCAAATATGACTGACTAATGCCTCGAAGCGGAAGAATAAGCTCTCCAAGGGTAACAGCTTCCGTAAGAAGTTCTATTCACGGTATAAATAACATCTGAAAGGCTTATAACCCGAGTATTAGTGAACTGAAGGCAAAATCTGGGCTGCATTCTAAGAAAAATTCCTCTGAAAATACCATTCCTCTGGTGCTGAGTCAGCCAGTGGTTGAGCATAAGTTCAAAATCTCACGTAAAGCTATCCGAAACCAAGGTAGGAGCTATATCAAGCCTGAGTCTCAGATTGAAAGTATTGACATTAAATAACAAGAATATTACAATACAGAGCTTTAAGATGCCCAATGGCCGTGCAAGGAAATGAGTGAGTAAGCGAGTCAACCGCAAAATTAAATCTCGAGTACGGATAGCTTCCAAGAAAATCCAGAAAGCTGTGAACGAAACTTGATCACAATTAATGATCTTCCTTGATAAGAAAGAAGCAAAACAAAGAATCAAAGGCACAATGTCTTCTTTCAGGAGCGACTAGATTGAGAAATCTCCGTAGGAGATTTCTCAATCTGTCATTTCCAACCATAGAAATTAAGTCTGACTGTATTAGTTCTAAGATTTTTGAGAGGCCTAAGAGAGTATTCCCTCTGCAAATCTCTCAAGAAGAGTAATTCATTCCATATTATGGTATTAACTAGGGGTTTTGGGGTTTTGGGGTTTTGGGGTTTTGGGG